TATGTATTTATGTATGTATGTGTCTAGGCATGTAACTAATGCGTGTATATATCTTTTTATGCATATGTTATGTATGGTGCACATGCATATTTGGCACACATTTCGTCCATGCTTGCAGTCGGACTTCTGGGACCTCTGTGCCGAGATGATGGAGAGGCAGAAGGACGAGATTGTTGCAGGGTCAACAACTTTTCAGAAAATTGCGAAGTCTGCTGCCATCGTCTTCTTGAACCGTCTGAATAAGGAGGGATGAGTTTCACAGTCGTGTTTGGGGTTCGTGCTGTCCAGAAGGATGTGCAGAATTCTAGATCAGAATTTCTACGCAAAGCTGCCGTCTGTAGACGGAAGCGATCATCAATCGACGTGTGCATGTCAGTCGTGTACATGTCGCTGCCTTTTTGAGACCGATGCTCCTGCATTTCCCGTGTGAATGAAAAACCAGGTCATGCCTTCTGTTGTTTCCTGCCACAGCAATCCTCGAAGTTGCTTTTGCATCATTAGCATTGTATTCCCAAATCGAGACCACAACCTCCGCCCAGGTCAGTTTCTGGATTGTCGTCCAGGACGAGGAGGCGACCCATCCCGACCATCGCAAAGAAGCTGGGTTCAGGTGCCACCCGCCCTTGGGCCTTGCATGTCTTTTCAAGCTTGCAGCTTCATTGCAGGACTTCTGTACCCGCATGTGCACGGGATCAAGAGCATTGCAAATCACCATGTTTTTTCAGACTGGATGGTGCATGTGTTGCAGGCCTTCTGTTGGTCACAGCTCGACACATTTGGGAAAGGGGTGCTGGGTGTCCAACGGTTGCATGCATACAAATACAGGCTGTTCTTGCATGGGCCTTCGGCGTTGAATCATGTTTGATCACGAAGAGCAGCAGAAGATACTTCGCAGTTTGCTGAGAATCCGGTCGCCTAATGCGCCCGGGCAGCATTTAGAGCGATGTGTGCATCCAGCATGTTGTGCGACGACTCCGGGTCTAGCTGACACCACTTGGTGGTCGAGGTTCTCGTGCTGTGTGTTTTCCTTCTGCTCAACATTTGGGTTCTCGAGTGGGACAAGGCTGTGCATGCTGGCACGTTGAATGTACAGATTGCTGCCACTGGCATGTGTGTCCAACCGGTGAGGTCTATGACTTCATCGAAGTCTGTGCAGGCTGGGGACGCCTGTCCAGAATCATGGGCTATGCTGGCTTTCAGACAGCATCGTTCGACATAGTCTACTGGGACAAGTATGTGAATAGTATCTTCCGCCGTCGTTCCACTTCGGGGCACAACCCGCTGGACATGCTCAGTCCAGCAGGAATGGCGATGCTCATCTAAAGGAGTCTGACTTTATGTGCTATGGGGTGTGTCTATCTAAAGAAAATATCTATCGCTATGTATATATACAATATATCTATATATACATATATAGATATTATATATATGTATATATATATGCTTATATATATATATGTGTGCACATATAACTATGTTAATACGTGTATATGTATATATATATATATACATATGTGTGTGTATAGTATGTGTGTGTATAATTGTGTATATATATATATACAAACCTCTCTCCCTCTCTCCCTCTGCTCTATCTCTCTCTCTCTCTTTCTCCCTCGCTCTCCGTCTCTGCCCTGTGCATGTCGTTTATGAGATTGTCGCGTGCATTTGTGCACATGCGCATGCACATGTGCCTGCCTGCCTGTCTGCCTGCGTACATTGCGGGCACACATGCCGCATGTCGAATTATCTTCCTTGGAGCATGTGTGTGTTTGTGAGTGTGTTTGTGTGTGTGTATGAGCCAGTTTGAACGTCTGTCTTTCTATCCTCATTCTGCACTTGTGACATCGTATCTTGCATCCAGTGCAAAGCGGCAGTCTGACTTCGTGTTAATTTTGCGGTCATGTCCGCTACTACATCTCTTATCGGTCCTAGTCGGCCTTAAAGCCGCTGCTGCAGGTCGTCAAGACAAATATGGCGGCGCAGAAGAGGGTGAAATATGCCGATTCCTTCACACGCCAACTTGGCCATTTGGATGTGGCTGTTTGCATGCATCCGGCATCTTCGCGTGATGACAACGCTCTGCGATCTGCGACAGTGGATTTGATGCCGCAGAGGAATGCAGCGGGCCGTGTGCACATCCAGCTTTTTGATTCTCCGCAGGTCAAGACGATAGCTGAGGCGATGGATTCTGTGACGGTGTGGTCACGAGCGGCAGTGCAGACTGAGTATGCACAGTTGTTTCTGCCAGGATTTTCAGATCACCTGCGTCCGGTGGCAGGTGCCATAATATCAGAGA